CTACTCCGTATCGGTGCTTAATAAAATAAATTAATCTCTGTTGGAAGACAGAGCTGTGGAACAGCCCAACCCCACTTCTTCCAACAAATTAATGTAGAAGGAATCTGTAATACTAACCTGTGCACGAGATGTTAAGTGACCCAGTGTTCTTCGAATTTGCTTCCTTTTCTTCTGAGCCATTTGGCTGGTCTGCATCAGCTCTTGTGTTCTTTCGCCCAACGATGTCTGAGCTGTTCCTCGAGATCTCAGGGGAGGTCTGCCGTGATGATTGTCGGGAAACCCTTTCCGGCGATGATATTGAGTCACTTGAGACCACACCACTTGAGTGCGGCTGGAGCAAGTGTATTTCGCACGCGTGGCTGACATCAGTACTACAAGTGTTACAAGAAGACGGTGCTGCGTCAGGACGTTTACAACACCTTTGGCCATTCTGCGCAAGTCCGAAGCCAATGTCATTACAATTCGGATCTTCAAATGGACGTCCCTTGATAGGTGAGTTCGGCCATGATCGATTCACACTAGTGCTCTTCTTCTGAAAATAGCAATACATTTCAGAGCGGATCGAATACAACCTAAAAATGGCTCACATTTCTCTTCATTCGGCCCGGAGTGGTAACGTCGTCCACAGAAGAACTTGGTGCAATCTCGGAATACTTTGACTGCAACACATCACACGAACTGCTTCGCCTAGTATTCTTCCAAACTGGGGAATCTAGAACAACCAATGGGTCACTAAATGAAGGGGTGCTTTTATTGGAGCCAAATAACAATGTCATGATGACGAAATATCTCCAGTACAGTGCAATATTGCATTCCACAAAATTTGACGAGGTACTGCGGATTTTACACCCCTTTCCAGTCTCAATGCATGAATGTGGCAGAAAAATGTGGCGAGGGATGGACGTTCCGCATTTGAAGTTCCTAGAGGTCATGTTCGAAACTGACCAAATTAAAAAAGAAATAAAGTTGCCTGTAATGACATTGTAGGACCATCAGAACGAAAATTAGGGAGAAAAGCCAAAAACGACGAAAAGTCGCTTCTGTTGCAACCCAGCACGGAATTTCATAGAAAGACCCCCACTCAAGAAGTACGGCAACCATGGCAAATGCCACCAACCTATTGCGAGTCGCCGTTATTCGTGCATCTCCTTACCATTTCAACTTCTGTTCACTATTCAGCCGTAGCAATACTCAGTGACTCTGATAATCAACAGCTCCTGCCCGGGTCACCAGGCTTTCTACCTTCAACCAGTTTCCCTTGGAAAGACATTGAGACCGACCAAACTGCACTTTGCCACTGCATAGGCCATATCAACAAGCCGTTACGATTCTGAACGGAAGCAGCATGTGTGCCGCATTTCCAAAAGGATTCACTAAGGACGAAGTTTTTATTACTTGAGAAATATGTTTGTCAAAACCGGAAACGCACTCTTCAGCTTCAAAGCATGAGGGAAGCCCCACGGATTCAAATGACCTGTTACTTTGGTGACCGCGTTGATGCACATAGAGCAGAACGTGGCCTGCAATGAAATCAGAAAGCAAAAAGCTGCTTCACTGGTCGAAGGGTTAGCACGCTAGCCACGAGAGCGTGCGGTCCAGGTTCTAATTCTAGTAAGGGTCAGGCGATTTTACTATGGCTCAGAACCCTCGTGATAACACAAGAACAAGGTAAAATTCTGTACAATACTCACCAGAATCATGACGCTTTTTCCGCCGCTCTTTCTTTCTGTTCTCCTGCGTTACCCTCATTCTGAATAGAGTTGATACGTGTATCAGAAAACCCTATATTAGGTTGATGCATAAGTTCTTTTCCCCGACTTTTTTGTAAATATCTCAATAGCGAAGCCTGAAGATTAGAGGTATGCACCATCACCATCCACTACTAGAGGTATGCACCATCACCATCCACTACTCGACGCCAACGCTCAGGCAGCTTGTCGATTCCATCGTCCCAGAAGGACGGGGGCTGGGACCCGAAGAAGGCCACAATGCCGCACAATCACCACTGTGACATGGTTTTGCACTGGTAATTGTGCGGCATTGTAGCCTGCAAATGCAGGGTGGGTGAGTGATAGCTAGTGTGATGAAAGAGTATCATGTACACGTCACGCACACGTGATGACGAAATACCAACATCCATGCAAACGAAATACGGAAGGATCAAAACAGGGGGCCAGAAACATATGCATCAACCTAATACTACGATCATCAGCCGGTCAAACTGGAAACATGTGGTAGCGCTTGATACAACGCATTTGTGAGTATTTCTCAAACTTTTTTTTGCAATAGTTTATTTCTGAACATCAGAATGGATACTATTTTACAACATAAGA